CGTAGCATGCACGTATGGTGAACCGTTATGTGATGAAGTCGGAGCATGATTTATTTATTGATTGTCTTCCTTATGAGTGGCGGTCGGGGACGAGCGATGGTCTTTTCCTACCAATCTATCCCCCTAGGATCATGCGCTTAGTACTTTGTTTCGATGACTAATAGATTTTTACAATAAGTATGTGAGTTCTTTATGACTAATGTTGAGTCCATGGATTATATGCACTCTCACCCTCACCATTGCTAGCCTCTCTAGTACCGCGCAAATTTCGCCGGTACCATACACCCACCATATACCTTCCTCAAAACAGCCACCATACCTACCTATTATGGCATTTCCATAGCCATTCCGAGATATATTGCCATGCAACTCCACCGTTCTGTTTATTATGACACGTTCCATCATTGTCATATTGCTTTGCATGATCATGTAGTTGACATCGTATTTGTGGCAAAGCCACCGTTCATAATTCTTTCATACATGTCACTCTTGATTCATTGCACATCCCGGTACACCGCCGGAGGCATTCATATAGAGTCATATTTTGTTCTAAGTGTTGTAATTCTTGAGTTGTAAAGTAAATAAAAGTATGATGACCTTCATTATTAGAGCATTGTCCCATGTGAGGAAATAAAAAACAAAGGAAAGGCCAAAAAAGAGAAGGCCAAAAAAACAAAAAAACAAAAAAAAATGAGAGAAAAAGAGAGAAGGGGCAATGCTACTATCCTATTACCATACTTGTGCTTCAAAGTAGCACCATGATCTTCATGATAGAGAGTCTCCTATGTTGTCACTTTCATATACTAGTGGGAAGTTTTCCTTATAGAACTTGGCTTGTATATTCCAACGATGGGCTTCCTCAAATTGCCCTAGGTCTTCATGAGCAAGCAAGTTGGGTGAATGTATTTTCTCTTCTGTGTGTAGGTGCTTCTAACGAGGTTTCACGTGGTTCTCCTACTGGATTGATAACCCTGGTTCTTAACTGAGGGAAATACTTATCTCTACTATACCGTGTCATCCTCTCCTTTTCGAGGAAATCCCAATGCAACTCACAAGTAGCAGGTAGTGCCAATGGTAGTAGGAATGGCAACACCGCACTAAATGGTACTACCGCTTGAGTCAGTACAACCACAATTTACCACCGTCAAAACGGGAAGGGCAACAGAAGCTCAAACACAAGCAGAGATATAGCAGAACTAGACTACGGTAGTACCTCATTAGGCGGTACTACGGCTGCCAGGGGCGGTACTACCGCTTGGGCACCTCAAGGAAGCTCATGCAGAAAACATGGCAGGAACTCCATGTTGCCGGGAAGGAAAGGAGGGCGCAAAGGAAATAAGTATGTGTTGATTCCCTAACCATTCCACTTCAGACCCCCTCTTAATAGTACGGTTTTCCTACGACTCAAATCCACCAAAAAGAAATCATTGGAAAATAACCGTCTTCACTCTTAACCACCGAGGGGAAATAAACCGTCTCATGCCATTTATCATAATCTCTGAAATACTCAATGCACATTGTTAGTCCACAAAACGCAATGTAATCAATCACCAAAACCACTAAGAGTGAAATATGCCCTAACAACGTTGGTGATGACGATGGCTTTGATTTATCTCTCCTTGAGGGAAGTTTCCCCAGCAGAATCGCTCCACCGGGGAGCAAAAGTGCTTCGCCTCTGGTTCCACCTCGAGACAACGACGGAAGGTACTGAAAGTCTTCTCTTTATTTTTTTTCTAGAGTAAATGGCTTCATATATGGGAAGATGGGCAGCAGTGGACCTCCGCGGGGCCCACAAACCACCTGGGCGTGCTCTGAGGGGTAGGGCGTGCCCCATGGCTTGTGGCCTCACTGAGGTTCTTCTCTGGTACTTCTTTCTTCCAGTATTTGTATACATCCCAGAATAATTCTCTGTAAATTTTCAGGTCATTTGGAGCTCTGGAGAATAGCTATCTCTGTTGTAACTTTTTCAAGCTCAGAATTCCAGTTGTCGGTAATCTCCCTCTTGTGATGCATCTTGCAAATTAAGAGAGAAAAGGCATTAAAATTGCATCATAAAGTGGAATATAACTCTAAAGCATTATAAATAACAGTAGGAAAACATGATGCAAAATGGACGTATCACTCGAGCAAGGGATTTCAATGTCGATGGTGTATAAACTACAGAGAGTATGGACTACGGATTTAGATGTGAATGGCTATCCCTAGACCCGCCTTATATAGATTATATGGCTCAGGTGTACATTGGGTTCATATGACCTCATGCCGCTGCCATCCCAGCTTTCTCACCAAGATGGTCCCCGAGCTCTATCTTGGCCTCTGGGATCCCTACTGTTGTCAGGCTCTACCTGGGTCGAATGGGCCTCGTGTTAGCCTAGCTGTAGGGTTCCCCTTTGAGAGGCCACCCCCGGTATATTGCACCGTCAATGTACACTGGCCAATCGGAGCACGACAGTGACGATGACCTTAATCCAGAGGAATTTGAGACCGATCCAAAGAAGAGGGCTAGAGGAGAAAGCTTCAACATGCGGGAGGACTAGTTGTTCTGGGATGCGCAGTTGGCCACTGGCATCGATCTGATCCATGGCAGGAAGCAAAAAGGCGCAATATTTTGGGCTAACATTCATACTGGTTCCATGAACACAAGAATTTTGACCCCTACCGCAACGAGCTCATCCGCAATCGTGGGATCAAGTTGCTCAACCATCAATTGTACATGATTCAAGAGGTTGTGAGCAGGTATGGCGGCCATTTGAAACAACTAATCGGTCGGTGGCCAACCGAGTTGGTCATCTGGCCGGATATGCAACTTGTTGATCGGATATGCTCTATGTGTTGTCATTTGGCCGCATATATAGCTAGTTAACAATGTTTTTAGCCCTCTTGTGCATGCAACTTGTTCTTGAAGATGGAGAAGAGGAGATTCGTCCTCATGCATGGTTAGTTGAATTTGAATGGGCAACCCAAGTGGATCCATTACCAACTCCATCAAGACCGCCGGCGTCGGCGCCAAGCAAGAAGCGGCTAATCCAACCGCCCCAACAAAAGAATCATCCAAAAAGGTTAGAAGAAGGTTTCTGCATAAAGAAGTGGGATGAGGAGGAGAAGTGAGACGGGGCAGCGGCCAAGATGACAGAGAGGTTCGAGGACATCTTGGTGAAGAAGGAGGAGATGTGTGTCAAGTGTTCTGACATGAAGGAGAGAATGAAGGCCAAGAGGTTTAACATCTTGATGGCGACGCCCGAGAAGAAACTTAAGCTCAAGGAGGGTTGGGCTCGGGGAGCTTCAGAGGGTATGAAGATGTTGACCATGAAGATGGACGAGTTGGTTGACGATGCACTGATGAACATGCAAGCCGTTCATGTTAGGATGTTGGAGCGCTTGTCGGCCGAGCCGTAGACATCTGAGGAGGTGAACGGTGAGGAGGAGTCGGTGGCAAAGTGAGCGTCGAGGCTCGGATATCTGGTCTGGCGGGGCAAAAATGCCGGGTTTTTTTGCACGGACTGTCGGACTGATAGTTATTGATCGGGCATATGTAAATACTATGTATGTCCGTCTTTTTTTTTAATTGTGATCTAGTGCAATGAAAACCATGCTTTAACTTGCTCTATGTCTAGTCATAGTTGGGAGTAATTTAGACTAGTAACATACATACTTCATAATGCGTAGTGTCATAAACGTGGAAAAAAATATTTTCATTTATTACTTTGTAGAATCATTTTTTATTGCGAAGCGCTATGTGATGGTAGCATATTATGTTACTCTATTTGTCTCTCTTTTCTTTAATTATTTATCACATCATTTTGTTACTCCTATTATGACTAGTTTAATATTAATATGCATTTGAAATAAAAATGGCCGGACCTAACGAAGATTTAGAGGATACGGTTGAATGGCCGGCTCCCGGCAACCAGGCGAGGCGACTACCCGCGCCTTTGAACCGCAAGTTTTCGAAATTATGTTCGTGATCCCGGCCCTCCAAAGTGATTACTACACAGTACATTCATGCAGGTTCTGTATGATAGCATCTGGGGATGCACGGTCCCCCCGTGGCCGCAGGCACCATTCACCTGCGTGGAAATTAAAGATGGATGAGTAAAGGCGACGGTAACGTGGGGGCATGGAGGCACCGCTCGCACGCCTGTTCAATTGCTCCCGTTCCTCGCCGGTGCGTGCGTCTTGCTCTTGAGTACGTATCGACCATCCGGCACCGCTGGATGGGCCGCGACGACGACGGATCGGGGGCTGCAAATCATGCCCCTGCTTCACTTCTGCAGCCTGCAGGCGAAAGGAGCCTTTCAGGAAATCGATTGTGTATGTTTCTGACTTTTCAGGGTGGTATGAGGATGAAGCTGGGTGATTTAATTAGCATTTCAGACATAAATTCATATCTCATGCAGTTTTGATCGAATGTGAATATATGATGTTAGTATAGTAAGTATATAAGAGTATATCTCTCACCCGCAAAAAAAAAAGAGTATATCTCTACCTATCTATGCAAGTTCTTGGTCGGTTTGTATATCTGCGAGGGAAAGGATGCATCCATCATTAGTAGCCCGAAAGCGCACGTAAAGCAAACGGAAAGCTGCTTGAAAGGCGTCCAGTAAAATAAACAGTGTTCTGAAATACTTGTTGGGAAAGCTATCATTGAGCCTCTAGCCAGTCTCAGTAAACAAACATTAGTTAAGGTTTGTGTCTCACTCTCGATCATATCCTATGGTGCATTGGACAACCTAATGGACATCCCCTGCATTCGTAAAGCTGATCAAAGAGGCCGATACATCATTCCATCGCTCCGCGCCTCCTCATCATTCTGCTCCCCTTTCGCCTCGCCACTACGAGAATTGACGTGGAAGCAAAGCCTCACAGCCTTTGCTTGCTCGCTTGCGTACCTCTTCCAGTTCCACCTAGCTAGCTCATCGTCTATATAAACACAAGGGGTGCGCAAGACACATACTGCACACTCATGTGACCTGCAAGATCACGCAGCTTGGCTAAAAACCATGGCGATGGCGGCGCTGGTGGTGGTGCTCTCTCTCCTGATCCTGCCGACCGGGGAGGCGCAGGAGAGGCGCCCGGTGGAAGCGCACCCGCACGGGCTGCCGTTCGAGAGCCCGCTGGCACTGTCCCCGGCGGCGTACGACTTCTTCCACCCCAGTGAGCACGCCCAGCGCGTGGCCGGCGCCCCCGAGCTCGCGCCGCGCGGGCAGCCAAGGGGGTCGGTGGTCCGGGGCGCCGGCGCGTCCGCGGCGAGCGTGGCGAGGGCCGACCACGAGGAAGGGGGCGTGGCGCCCGTCAACACGGCTCGACGTGGTGGAGCTGTCCGTGCGGGCGTGGTGGCCGGCGTGTTCGTCGGAGCCGCGGTGGTGGTCTTGGCGGCTCTCGGGCTAGCGTACGCGGTGGCGCGGCGCCGCGTGGGCGTCGCGCAAGGTGACGCTGAGGTGGCTAGCGGGCCGAAGTCGAATGCTTAATGGGCTGGATTAGGGGTAGCTTTGCGTGGGCCTAGAGAGTTAGGCCATAGGGGCGGGCTGGTAGTGTGTAAATTATCGGTGTTTCATCATCGAGCGACGGGAAAATGGTTACAGGCGACTTCCACTGTATGAGCTCTCAAGCCTACGACCGATCGTGCTGTGAACAATCATCGCGTACTAATATAAACCTCAGAGAACGCTTTTGCTCGAGCGAAGTGCACCTATAGCCGTTAAGTTATTTCAAAGCGTCCAATTTTTATCCCTCAACTCAGAAACCGCACTTACAGTACAGTAAACTTCTTTCGAGTTCAGGTCTGGTGCTCGTTCGTGCAATGAATAGTGAGACCTTTGAAAGTATTTATATGTGTTCTCTTAGAATGCTCAAGGGCTCGGGAGACGATGACAAGTTCTCGTGTGAGTTGTGACCATGTTGTGTTAGCTGCCGATCTTTGGGTCACTTGCTTCGAGGTAACGAAACTCTCCCGCCCCTACTCCTGCAAACTTTGCTCTTTCCTTCCCTCTCATCTTTCCGGTTTTGCCACGTGTGATGTGGATGGCGGATCATCATGTCGTGGATCATAATCCGTTCTCCCTCATCTCGGTTAGCCACGGAACCACCACCGACCTCGGCCTAACCATTGCCAATGTGTACTTCCCTGAAGATCATTTCTTACAATGTGACGTTGTGCTTCGCGTAATGGATAGTGAGACCTTTAAAATTATTTCCCTCTTGTCCTACAATGTGCAAGCACCGAGAGATGATGAAATGTGTTGTCGTGTGTGATGTTGTTTTAGTTGTCGATTCTTCTGTCTTTGCATTCAGGTGATGAAAATCTCCAACCACGACTCCTACAAACTTGGCTCTTCCATTACCTCTCATCTCTCCGGTTTGCCATGCGGGATGCAGACGATAGCAAGGCGGGATCTGATATCCTAAAATGTTCTCTCTCACCTCGTGTTGTAGGGTGGAACCCTAAGATGGATCTTTTCACATTTAGAGGGGGGAAAGGGATGAACACCAAGAACACAAAGAGGAATTCACTCCAACAAAACCCAATCATACATCCACTAGAATAGCTAATACATAGATCCACATAAGTACAAGCACAATCCAAGGAAATAAGCACAAAGATAAGGTTCTTCCCACTCCTAAGGAGGTGGGGTCTTGATGATAGTGTTCTTCAAGAGAAGGTCTTGAAATCCACTAGGGATCCTCTCCTAAAAGGTCTAGATCTCCAAGAGGAGTGGTAGGAGGAGCAAAGCTCTTTAAATATCTCTCATATACTTTGCTAACCCTAAACATGACCCTAGGTAAGGAATATATATATAGAGATAGGTAGACGAAGGAGACGAAGTGGAGGTCCAACAGCAGCTCACAGCCGTCCGTCCTGAAGGGCCCGTGCGCATGGGGGTCCCGTGTGCATGGTACACGCCCGTGCGCACGGTGTGCTACAGCGTCAGCTCCCTGAGTAGTCCATGCGCACGGGGTCTCAGGAGCCCGTGGGCACAGGGTCGCCTGGGAGGTGCAGTCTAGCTCCTTTTGGCTTCCTCCTTCTTCCTTGAGGTCTTGGGGTGTTCCTCCTCCTCCTTGGTGGTGTTCCTCAGCTGCTTGGAAGTGTTCTTCTTCGTACCTAAGGATACATAGTACATTTTGGTGAGGTAGCAACCAAGTTCCATTCTTGTCCATATTGATCTCGTGAAGGAGTGAGTTCACCTTAGTTTCAATGACGCATGCTCGAGCCCTTGTTATAGGTCCACGTGATGCTTAATGAGTTGGTGTAGTGTCCATGGGAATGATGGAAGGATGCTTCGCATCACCTCGGCTAGCAAATATGTCTTCCCTCCCACCATCGCCGTTGCCTACACCACCACCGCCCTCGACTTAACAATTACCAATGTGCACTCCCCGAAAGATCATTCCTTGAATAGTGACTTCATGTAACAGATAATGAGACCTTTGAAACTATTTATGTGTCTGGAATGTGCAAGGGCTCGAAGAAGATGACAAATATAGTTGCGTAGTCAGGATTTTGCAAAGCCCCAACCAACGCTGCTCAATAGTGATGAATAGTGCTACAGTACGGACAGTAAACAATGGAAAGTGTTGCCGCACCCCAGGCCATGGTCAGTGTAGATTAGGTCCTGGCTACGCTCCTGGACAAATGTATTGTCGTGTATCACATTGTGTTAGCTGACAATCCTTTTTTCCCTTGCATTAGGTAACTCGACTTCTTCAAACTTTGCTCTTTCCTTGTGTCTCATCTCTAACGTTTCGCCACATGTGATGTGGATAGCGGCAGAGCGTGATCGCCACCGCTTGAGATCCTAAATCGTTCTCCCTCACCTCGGCTAGCCAACACTTCACTCTCGGCTAGCCAACACTTCACTCTCACTGCCATTCTTGCATCCACCGCCACCAATCTCGACCTAACTATTACCAATGTGTACTCCCCGGCAGATCATTCCTTGAAAGCTGACTCTGTGTGGGGGATGTCAGAGCTGCTCTCGCTCATATTCGATCCTTTGGCTAGTGATGCGGAATTCAACTTGATCCTTACCCAAAGACAGAGAACCACAGCTTGATTGAGTTGTCGCGATCTCATTCAATGGCCTCATTGCATCCCTCTTATTGTTTGAGCTCCCCTTCATGTACCATCTCTTCACTTGGACGAACAAGTAAGATACAGCGACGTTCACATTGGAACACTACAGAATTGCTCGGTTCACATGGTGATCGAACTTTAACCGTGACTTCTTTATTGGACGGGAGACTCGTCCATTCTAAACGGGTTTGTAAGAGCAACTTCAATGGAGCAACTCATTTCGTCCGCTGATGTCCGTTTAGGTCAGCGCAGACAGAAAAAGCTGTCCAACGCGCCGATCCAAACGGACGCGCGTCCGCTTGGCGTCCGCATGGCGACCCATTTCTGGTCTAATTTTGAGCTGGATTTGCATCGGCGCGGACACGAGATGGACGTGCGCGCCTACTCCTCTCTCCGGGCCTGTCGGTCGATGGCAGCCACCACCATTTCCCCCAAAACCCTCCCGCCTGCGCGCTCCCGCCCCACACCAGCCATGGACGACGTCATCGACCTCGACGCCGCCGCCAGCCTCGCCTCTCTCGCCTCGTCCGGCGCCGCCGCCCCCTCCGGGAAAGGCAAGCCTCGTGCCCCGCGCAAGACCGTCGCCGCGGCCAAGCCAAAGAAGTCGCTGACGCCCCACACACCGGGCAAGGGAGTCGGCCAAGAGGAAGGACCGGAGGCACGCCACGGACACGAGGGATGAGGCCGCCGTTGCCGCCGCCGTGCAGCAGGAGGTCACCACCGCCCGCGTCGTGGCCTTAACGAGGGAGGCTCTCTACATGCTAGGGTTAAACCCTAGCTAGCACAGCCTCCTCAACGCCGTCGTCGCCACGGCCAGCGCCGGCTCATCGGCGTTCCCTCGGATGGTGCTGCCCGACTCGCCTCGCGCGTCGGCGTGCAACCCGATGCTCGGCTTCCACGTGTACCTGCATGCCTCCACGCCCGCGCCCATCGACCTCAAAGCCACCCCGGTGGCCGGTGGCTCGTCATCGGGCAGCGCGAGGAAACGTGCGCGGCAGACGTCGGCCGGCGTGCTCCCGGACGCCCGCAACCTATTCGAGGGAATGTCGTCCGCCGGCGACGAGGACTACATGCAGAACCTCATCTTCGAGGGCGGTGCGCCGGCCGCTGGCTACGATCCCGACGAGACACAAAGCCAGGACGGCCGCGGGGCGTTCACGCCGGCCGCTGGCTATGATCCCGATCGGGCGACCTTCATGCGTGATCAGGTCGGCATCTACTTGGACGGCTTCCCACTCGGCCACGAGTTCCCGGACGACTACGGCTAGAGGAAGAGGACGAGTGCGACATCGAAGTGGAGCCTTTGTTCGAGGAGGAGCTCGCCAACCAAGCCGCCAGTTCTAAGCCGAAGCGCAAGAGTAAGTGCACAAAGGCATACACGGCTACCGAGAACAAACTTCTTTCTGAGTGTTGGTGAGACATTGGACAAGACCCCAAGACGGGCGCCGAACAAAAGCATTCAACCTTTTGGATTTGTGTCCACCGAGAATTTCATGAGCGCAAGAAGTTTCCGCCTTACCAACTTATGAGCACACGCAGGTGGGTGTCCATTTCCAAGCGATTGAGGGTGATCCAACAAGAGTGCAACAAGTTTTGCGCCATTCTTGAGAGCATCAAGGCCCGCCCCGTGAGCGGCATCGACATGCAAGACATGGTATGCTAGCAAGCCGCCCTCTTTTTGTGTCTTCAAGTTCATGCTTGTGTGTTCATTTGCAAGCCACCCTCTTTTTGTAGGCATTTCAAGCTTTGGAGGCATTCAAGGTTCAACACAATGGCAAGTGCTTCAACCTCTCCCATTGCTTTCGGATCATCAAGGACGAGGAGAAGTTCAAGGCGCAATATGCCGCCCTCAAGTCGCATGGGGGAAGCAAGCCGTGGAGGAGGTTGGGGAGGGCGAGCCGGCACGGCCGCGTGGGAAGACCAACTCCAAGAAGGAGGATAAGCGGGATGCGGCATCCAATGCCTTGATCGCAAGCATGGAGGGCATGATGAACAAGAAAGACTCAAGGGAGGAGGAGTGTGGCGGAGCAAATGGACGCTTTCATGGAGATCCAAAGGAAGAGGCTTGAGATGGACGCGGAGAAGCAAGCCAAGATGTTCGAGTTGGACGCGGAGAAGAAAGCCAAGATGCTAGAGATCGAGGCCGCCAACGCCAAGACCAAGGCGAAAGAAAGTGGATCTCGCGACCATGATGACCGGGGTGGAGATCATGAAGGTGGATCTCAACACCATGTCGCCAAGGAAGAGGCCGTGGTTCGAGAAGATGCAGGCCGACATGCTCAAATTCGACGACGAGTGATCTATGGCGGCGAGCGCCATCTTTTTTGTATGCCGGCAGGTGTGCCGGCATGACCACGGGGGCCGCGATGGCGTGGTCGAACTCAAGTCCCACCCTTTTTTGTGTGTGCTAGCATGTGTGTCGGCCGGCTGGCGAGTGCGCCAGCATGAACTGCGGTGATATTTTTTGGAGCCGGCATTGTATGCCGGCGTTGGCATGATACCGGCATGAGACATGGCCGCTGGCATGATCGGCCGCGGACCTTTTTTTTAAATTAAATGCGGACATGAAATGGGTCCATGCATTGGGCGCACTGCCGACCTAAATACAAAACTGGACCGACGCCGGGCGGCCGACCCAAACGGACAAATGCGCCATCCATTTGGGTCGGCCCGTTGGAGTTGCTCTAAATGGCGGAGAGAGAGGGGGGTGGGGGTTATGTCTTTCGTACAATATGCCATGAAAAGGTGTGCCATTTACATAGAAGAGCAAACCGGCCTGCCTTTCGGCCTTTTGGTTGCAAGTGCATTTCACTCAAATCACAAGGATGGTACCATCTCCAGTTAGGTTGCAAGTGCATTTCACTCAAAATCACGATGATGGTGCCATCTCCTGTTTACTATAAGATGTACTACTAAGACCAGATAATAACTTCAGCAATAAAACATTTTAACAGGGTTAGGCTGTAGCCCCTGAATCCACGATACATCTGGGGACAATGTGTAGCAAAAGGGCGCCACGATACAAGGAAACAACTCAGAATGCAACTCAGATATCAATGGGGATCATAGCCCTCACAAACAATTTTATAAATGCATCATCTTCAAAGGCGTCCATGAAAAAAAGGGGTTGGCATTGTCCCCAAGGGGTTTCGTGAAACTCAATGTTGACGCCTCTTTTGACCATGACATGCTGAAGGGTACGATGGGGGCGGTTTTGTGAGACGACAAAGGTAGGTTTATTGCAGGAGGAAATGAAAAGATTGACCATTGTGCGGATGTTCTGATGGCAGAAGCTTTAGCCCTCAAATTTGGACTAACATTAGCGCAAAAGGCATGATGCAATCGCCTAATCATCAACTCAGATAATCTGGAGGTGATTGAGACCATGCAGGATGGAGGACAGTCAACGAGTGCAGCGGCGGCAATTTTCGATGACTGCTTCCACTACGCATGTGATTTTATCGTGACTAGATTCGAACATTGTAATAGAGAGGCAAATAGAGTAGCACATGAACTTGCTAAGTTAGCTAGATTTTCTTCAAACTTCAGATTGGTTCGAGGAGCCTATCAATGAAATTGTACTCTTCCTCACAAACGATGTATCGGTTATTTCTAATGAATAAAGTTTCGTTTTATTTCAAAAAAAAAAGAGGGCGCCATTGGTCCTCCACACGCATTTTTAAAGCAAAAGAAAGCATTATGATCAACCATTGGTACTGAGAAATGGCAGAGCACATGTGTCTTAATTTAGCACAACAACGCCGTGATCAGGGAGTAGTGCTTCACTCTCAATGCTTGAATTACCATCCACGCGAGCTAAGATACACAACAAGCCGGCCAAGTGTCTCGTCCACTGCCTTGTTCCATACGTGAGCCATCTCAGCTGAAACTCCTCTACCGGTGGTTGCACTTGTCTGCAGGATATGTAAAAGGTTCAGTAAGTGATGGCATTCCTTGTAAAAAAAAGAATTAGCACATGCAACAAAGAGTCTAAAGTTTCTATCAGAATAAGTTCCCTTTGTGGCCATTGGCTAAGATATATTTAATCGTCACTTTAGTTACAAATGTTGCAAGTTTTAAGATGCTATCTTGATACACAATGCAGCTTTAATATGATTATTTAATGAGTAATCAACTCTTACACCCATATCGTGGCATTACTTTGACAACGCGAAGTTGAAAGAGTATAACAGTGCAGAGGACAACAACAGAACAAGATTGACTGCTACACCAACAGACAGTTTGACAAGTGACTCTCACAACTTCTACTGACGAAAACAGGTCCCAAGCACAGGCCAAAATGTGTGCCATTTTATTAGAATATATTTAATCGTCACTTTTAGTTACAAATGTTGCAAGTTTTAAGATGCTATCTTGATACACAATGCAGCTTTAATATGATTATTTAATGAGTAATCAACTCTTACACCCATATCGTGGCATTACTTTGACAACGCGAAGTTGAAAGAGTATAACAGTGCAGAGGACAACAACAGAACAAGATTAACTGCTACACCAACAGACAGTTTGACAAGTGACTCTCACAACTTCTACTGACGAAAACAGGTCCCAAGCACAGGCCAAAATGTGTGCCATTTTATTAGAATAAAGCATCAAAATTATCGACAAGTCTTTCAGTAAAAAGAAACCAAACATACTGCAAAAACAGGGCAAAAACTAGAAGCGAAAAAGGAAGAAACAAAAACTGGCTGCAGGAGCTAAACTGTAGTCAGGTCAGGAGGCCAACCATTAAGCAGCAGCCAGCCAATCAACTCAACCTTTTGGCTCTGGCGAGACCACCAAAGCACGCAGACCTCTCTGATCTAAGCTACAACTTACGATAACTGCTTAGAAGACTTGTTTTAAAGACTAGCATTTCGTTCCAACCAGGTAGATATGATAACTGAATTGAGTACTGCCTGAATTTTTTTGTTTGTTCACAAACACCAGTCCCAAGAAAGCCATATGATTACGAGGGATTGTTCAGTTTCTTCTGTAGAGCTTACGATAGGAAATGGAATAATAGGGAAAGACACAAGTACACAAGCACCAAATAATATAATTTGTTTTATGTATATAAGGTGGACATTCACAATTTCGAGGTTTGATGGAATCAATGTACGAAGCAATTCTCCAAGTCAAAGTACATAATATTTATAGATAATAGAAATTAGGGTCCATATTGAGAATTTTTATTTTGCTGTGTCTAGAATCTCTAACCACAATCATGCACATACAGGTATTGCAACAACAAAAACTAATTTCAGATTTCCAAACTCTAGTTACAGGTTCTTCATCATGGCAAGCTTATGTTTAACTAGTTCAGGAACACACAACCATTCACCTTACTGGGGTCATCATCTCAATAGCATATTCAATATTTTAGTTGGAGAGTTCCCAGAATCTTTCAGTGTCAACAACACCACAGCATTAATCCTTTTGGGTAAGAAACACAGTGACGGATACATCGTTTTAGGTAACAGGAAATGCCTGGAAACTCGCCCCCTTTCTTCCCAAACTACTCAGCTTGGTTTCCGTTCCAATTTATTGTCTGTGGTCTGGAAGCGTTCCACATGGTATTCCCGACACAACTGGATGAGCCAAAGACACCAGTGCTTTATTTTCAAGAACCATTACAATATCACGAGGACTTTGGAGGATAAACCAATAATCGGTAACTAAGTTCATCACCCTTGAGTGGTTAGAGCATGTCTGTTAACGAAACAAGATCATAACAATAGAAACTTCAACGAGTAGATTAATGAAATTCGATATCAACATTCTGATAGTTACGAACAGTTATAGTACTCTGCAAAAGCAGACACAGGTTAAATGAATCGAAAAAAATGCAGACCTGATAGGAGAAGGATGCTCCCCCAGAGGCCGCGTCGGCGTCGGCAAGGGAGCGGTAGATGGAGCGGCGCTGGTGGAGGACGAAACCCCCCATGGAGACGGAGCCCAGGGCGAACCCGAGGAGGCGCTCCTGTGCGCAGATCCACGCCAAACCCACAAGAAACCGAGCCGAGTGAATCAATCGGTCAACCAATCGAACGGGGCGGACGCGAAATGGAAACGGGGGATGCGAATCCCTTCGGAATCTACAGCCTTGGAGTCAGGATGGGTTACCTGCGCGAGGATGCTGATCATCGTGGTGGCGGCCGCCGGCGAGACGCCGAGGTTGTTGAGAAGTTTCCTCTTTTCGTGTACGGTTTCTGCGGGCCTTCACGATGTGTGGCAGCAGCTGCGCGTGTGCTGGTCATTAGGAAAGGAGCGCTCAAGGGGCCACGGCCATCCTATTTTCTTTTGAGCCCTAAACTTAGAGCATCTCCAGTCGCATCCTCAACAGCCCTCTCAGAGTCCCAGACCATTTTTTCCGATGTCAGCACAAAAAAAAAGCCCCATTTGTGCTCTCTGAACGTCGAAAAGCGTCGGTTCGACCCATTTTTGGTCCGATGACCGCAGGCCAACCCGGCGCACTGGAGGCGATCGGGGGCTGCGGCGCAAAGGAAAAGCATAGCTGGCCCACACCGTCAGGTGAAAAGCACCAGATAGCCAATCCCCGCCGAAAAAATAGCAGAGGTTCGCCGAGGCAGCCCCTCC